TTTACAAAGGAGCGGGCCACAAACCCAAGCTTGTTACGTCCTTCACAAGAATATTCACCCCGGCCGTCCTCTTCCAAAACCTCACTGATAGAAAGTTCACTCTTTGTCTCATCCAAATGTGTATTAATTTCTCTCCAGCTTCAGTAACGAGATCATTATTCCTTAGTCATTGGTATATGTAAAGGATATGGATGAAAAGTGGAAGTGTCCTTTTATTCTGGCTTAAACTACAAAAAATAACACTTTCTTGAGTTACAAGTTCAATACATAACAGGCTACAGTATGAAAATTTACCGGTAACATCGATCCAGAATGAGGTGTTAGCTTTGCCATAATCATTTTGAGCAGTGCATTCATAATATCCCTTATCTTTAAAAATCGCACGTCTAATGACCATGGTGTTGCTGGTACTAAGAAGCACTCCATCCTTAGTCCAGTTGACATGTACTTCTGGATCACCACTCCAGTAACACTTTGTTCTAAACGCGGAGTGAAGCTCAATGTTAACATTCTTGAACTCAAGCTTTATACGGGGTGGAACTGCAAAGCGAATGCAAAATACAGAGATTGCAAATGTGATAATTTACAGATTCAAAGCCCCCACCTCAATACCCCTCCACCCTCCCACTCCCCCCTTCCCCTTTCCCTCACCCTCCCCAACCTGTTCCCCCTTCCCCTCCCCCATCCTCCTCCCTTCTCCCCTTTCTTCCCCCCTTCAAATAAATAAATAGAAAGGAAGAAGATTAAACAGGCTTTGATTAAATCATGCAAATGCTTCCAAAAACCCCGTAGGCCTGGTCACATAACTAACTGAGCTCTGAAACCATCATGCAGGGATAGATATAAGATCAAACGGTCTGAAAAAACACTTATTATGGACCTGGTTCTAACAGATGAGTCCATTGTAGTTATTAGGTGAAACGTTAGATTTTAAGTTTTTCTGATGGTTTTCCTAATATCCATTTCTACTTAGTATTTTTACCTTAAGCAACAACACAACATACATTAGAGAGACCGACTGTCAAGTTACATAACGCAGGTAACTCCCAGAAATTCTGAATCGCACAGTAGGATTAGTCATTATGAGAACTACAGTTTAATGTGCCCTCGGTACAACAGAGAAACGGTAGAAAGTAGAACTTTTCATGTTCGTAGGCTGGAATGGGACCCTTTAGAAATACATAAGAAGGACTCCACTAGTTCCTTTAGCTCTGCCTGTTTTGAAACTATTCTTAACTGTTTTAGGAGATGTTTAGGGTAGAGAGCCAGTGGTTCAACAGTTTATACTGTTTGCGTGCCATTCTTTATAAACCAATGTGTCACTTACTTACATAATGACCCTGAAGCTCAGACTCAGACCCCTTGATTTAGACTTCGGTCTACTGAACATTAATCATTCACCCGATGTACAAACCAAATGCAAGACTGATTTGAAGCATAACTATATGAGATTAACAAACTCACCCTTAACAGAAAGGTTAACGTCTTTGGTATCGTTGCCAGCTTCATTCTTTGCTCTACAAGTGTACTGCCCTGAGTCACTCTTTTTTATTTTAGGGAAAAGGAGAGACCAACCCTTTTTCTGCAAAGTATTATTCTTCAGCCAGGTTATCTCAGGCTCAGGCCGACCAACCACAATTTCACACGTCAAGTTCACACTGTTTCCCTCTACGATGAGACTGCTTGCTCCAGAAATATTCACTTTTGGTGGAACTAAGAGGTCAAAAAACAAAAAACAGAAACAAAAACAAAAACAGAAAACGGTGACATCGCTTAGCACATAACACTACTCTTTTCTTATGTTAATATTTCTAATTGAGATTTTATACTATTGTTTCTGGCCTTCTTTTGTGAAACTTTTATCTTCATTTTCATAGATCTGGCTAGAACACCTTGGACCGAGTCACGAGGTACAAGGCAAAATAGATATAAATTGGTTAAACCCCTCTTTTGGGTACAAAACCTACAGACTTGCATAGTTGCTTGTTGNTCAAAGTTTGTTCTCCTAGCGTGTCCTCAGTAAATCTTGCTGTCAATATAAGTGATAAGAATCATCAACATCATAGCAGTACTGTAATATTCCTAGAAGCCACTAAGGTCAATAACTCGAACAGCACACCGTCACCCTTCGAACTCCCGCTCTTTCTCACATACACGCACACTCTCTCAGTCATCAGACCACTGTGTATAGTCCCGGATGTTCACAGGACACCACAAGTACTATTAAAAGGTCAGTAGTATACTGATCTTACCCGTCATTATCCAGCATTTTTAGCATATAACTGCATCTCTGCAAGCTGAAAAGATGTTTTCTTACCATTTATGTAGACAATGTAATATCGAACATATTCCAATCTGTAGCATTCGTATAGTCCTGCATCAGACAACTGCACCTTATCAATGAACAGTTCACCAGTTTCTTTAATCCTGATTCTTTGGGACGTAGAGTTTTCTGTTTTATTCTTCAGCTTTTCACCAGCAATGGCCCATCTTGCATAACTGGTTTCATTATTTACTGAGCATTGAAGCGTTTCACTGCTGCCAATATCAAAATAGATTTCTTCTTTTTTCAACAGTTTTTTGTTCTCTGCAAGAAATAGTTCAGTTAGAGGATGTTATAATAAAAATAATCTCATCTTAAATAACATTACAGGTAGAGAATGAAAAGACGAATATATTTACCAATACCAATGCTTAAATTGACAGATTTTTAGATTTTCCGTACATTATATTAGACCAAGTTATATTACCTCACACAAAGTCATGTCAATCGTTGTCAATTTATGTTACATCCAATTTTAAAAGTCGTGAAGCTTCTTTAAGGCCAAGGTAACCCCTTACCAAGTAATGAAATTCATAAAACAGCCATTGATACCCCTGTAAAAGTCATTTGAGCCCTAGCTTAAGTCCCTTGAGTCATTTTATTTTAGACCAAGTAAAATCACCACTAAACGTAGTCATGTTACCCTAAACCAAGTCATGTTATCCCCTGTTTGAGTCATATCTTTATCTTAAGTGTAAAATCTGCGAAAAAGATATATGCTTTTTCGCAAACCGTACTTCAGCAGGCACTCTTTAGAAAAGAGGTCATCGAATAGATCCGAATTTTTATCTGATTTTCCTTTATTCTAAAAGTTTTAAGGGTGGAAGAAAGACAACACAGGATGACAGAGTCACGATTCGAGATTTAGAATGAACTACTTACTTGGCTGACACAACGCCTGAGAACCCTTGCCATCTGATAAACATTGAGGCGGGATATTAACTTTTCCATCAATACGAGTACAAGATGCGAGTTCTGGCTCATCTCCATTGCAAGAGACATTTGACATTGCAAAAGGAATTCCCTCATCCTTTAGGTCTGAACCAATGAATTTCGCTAAAGCCTCCTCAAAGCCAAGTTGACGACAAATAACTTTGACATCGTCTAAATCCCATCCATTCCTGCAGATCTTTGTCCATTTACCCTTGTAAAATACTTCCACTCTTCCTCCATACTCCATATTTGCACCATTCAAGCGAACAGGAACTAAGGAAATTCCAAAAAAAAAAATTACAAATTAGGATGGAATTCACTAATTATGGGAATGAGAAATTCCTGCAACATTACGAATAGCCATAAATCACGAAGTGAATTAGTAGTTAATGCTAATTTTGTGATCGTGTTTTTTAGAATTCTCAATGTTTTAATTTGTAATTTCCGTCAGGCTACAAGTTTCATTGGTTCGGAAAATAATAGTTACAACGTTGCAATTTTCATTTGTTTACAAGTGTGGATCAAGGCGTTTACATTGGATATTGTTAGTCTCCTTGAAGCGATATATATAGTCAACGATCCCCTTTTGCAAAGCACTAGTGTGTGTTTCCCCTTGTAAGGTTCATCAGCACACTAACTTGAAAGCAAACCAGGTCTAATTCATTTTTGCAGTATTTTGAAACTTTCAAAAGCGAGCTTTCGTAACTGTCGTAAAAAACGCTAAAAATTGAGAGTGCAGTAGGGAACTTCATAATGATAAACTATAACCTCTTAGGCATTAGTCTTCTATTATCAAGGACGTGACGTTTTGATAGGTTTAAGTGGAGTCCAGAAATTTTGAAATATTTTATCGCACACGAAAGAGAAGAATGGGAAAGAAAAGGGAAACCAAATTTTTTGAGGAACTGAAATGAAGGGTTTGAAAGGATCAATCTGACTCTTTCTTTGAGAACTGTAACGTTTATGATACCTAAATGCATGATAGCGCAAGTTCTTGTTTTAGCAGTTACTCAATAGTTATCCTTTAAGGATCTAACTAAAACTTTAGAAAACAGTTAAATTTAACTAATTGACAGTGGTGTGAGGACCCAAGAGGCGCAGTCGAGGGAGTCCACCACACAATGGCCGATCAGATTGCAAAATTATTGGCAGTTGTGGTAAAATTTTCAATTTTTATATCTCTCGTGTATCTGAGCAATCTTCGAAGACGAAAAACTATTGTTTCCAGGCTATTTACCTCTCTGTCAATGTACTTGAAGTTTATCATGTTACCGAATTCTGAAAATAGGATCATGAAGATATTACATGTGTACAATTCATTCTTACCTTTGCAAAATTGGTGTTTCTTTGCCAGGCTTTTTTGACACGTAGTTGGAGTGGTGCAGTTGTGGTAGTCGGATTTCTTCGAGGCGTTGCCTCTTTCTGCATACCATGTGTCGTTGGCATAAACACCGTTGTTATAGTAGCCCATGGCCATGCAGGTTAAATTTAAATCAGCTTCATCCCATTGACTGGTACAAAGCTTTTGCCAGCTGCTGTTCGTGTATATTTCCATTCCGACAAACGGGTTCTTCTCTGTGTTAAAACGCAGCGGAAATGCTTCAAAAAATTAAACAAAAATAAATTTAGATATTTAGTTTATTTTATTTTTGCAGCGCTAATTGTCTTATGGTAATGAAATAACATCGATAATAATGACCGAAAAAATCAAAATAATAACAGACGCCCGAGCAGCCAGCAGGACGCGTGTTATACATAGACTTCACATTGGGCCTTGCTCACCTGTAGCTAGTAATAGAGCATCAGCGCGCGGAGTCCGTAGGTCTCAGATTTCAATCCAAAAGGGGACTCAAAATTTTTCTTTGTCCTACTCTCGAGACAAGACGAAAAACAGCTCTCTCTGTTTCTATGCCGAGCTCAAAATTTACAATTTTTCTTATTCTATTTACAAAGATAATGATGTTTACCGATTAAAATTATCCAGCTGATTATGAATTCATGTCCTTAGACTTCTCCTTGTATGCCATAGGAAGCATCTAAGTATTTCAAATTTGGGGAAAACTCGTTTCTCAGTGATCAGAAATGATGACGCCATCGAGGTTG